GGGAGTTCCCTGGGCACACCAGCCTTCTAGCCAAAACCCCACTCTGTCACTTTCTTCCAGTCTTATAAATTAAATAGAGTTGTTTTAAAACATTACATGACACAACTGCTCCGTATCAAAGACAGGGGCTTGTTCAGGCTTCCAAAAGTTAAGAACTCAGTGATGAATTAGCAACGAAAGGCTCACCCCCCAATAGCTCAGCAGTGCTGCCTGCCCTCCCAGCCCGACCCCATCCCTGAGCAGCGGCGAAGTCCGCTTGTCTTTCACAGGCTATGACACTCAGGGGGCCAATGCCATTTAAACCTTCATGTCCCCAAGTGCTTTATTCTACATGTGTGAATACGTGACATAAGTCTTTTCCTGGATTATAAATTCCTGAAGGTCATGGGTTACACTTAAGCGTCCTTGTTTGCCTACCAGCATTTTGGGGCTGTTTCCCAGCAGACGCGGAGGAGAGAGGAGACGCATGACCCTACCAGCGAGGCGAGTTCAGTGTTCACTTAATAATGGGCTTGAGTACTGAACATGGCCTGAGAGCAGGGGTGTTTCTCTTTCCTCGGTGACCAGCCCCCAAAGGCCTGTCAAACTGTTGAATGCCCTCCTCTGCACCTAGGGGCCAGCTCTCCAACATATAAAGGGTGTCCAAAAAAAAAAGAATAAAAATAAAAGCATAATGAGCATTCCCTCCAGCCAAGAACTAAGCACTCCCTTTTGTGTTTCCTCCCTTGCAAAGGGGAAAGGGGACCCTAATTTTGCAAGACTTCAGAAAGAGGGTGCAGAGGGGCAATTGTTTGGAGGAGGCAATCACTCCTCTGGGGACTCCTCCCCCAGCCCAGCCTCTGCCAGGCAACTGCCAGTGCTTTCTGAAGAATGGGCCTCCCCTGCACGCTCGCTCCCGGGCAGCTTCCTTTCCCTCCAGGCTGGTGTTTTCATTTCGGGGAACCGTGCATCTCAATGACCTAGATGAATTTCTGGGAAGGGCCCGTCAGCACCGTCTTGTCTTGTTTCAGCTGTGGACCCCAAAGTCGTTTCCATCGCCAACCGAGTTGCTGAAATTGTTTACTCCTGGCCGCCACCAGAAGAGCAGCACAACCTCTTAAAGGGAGGAGGCTTCCAGTCCACGGGGACTTTTGTACTACAGGGTCTCCAGCTCCAGGGCCCCCAGCTCCAGGGCCCCCAGCCTAAAGCCCCAAGTGCGAAGAAAGGTAAAGTTCCCTTGGAATGTTTGCCCTGGGCTGTGTTTGCCAGGCAGAGGTCTACACGCACTTCTGTATTTATTCAGCTCTGGGCTCTGCAACTTAGGGATCTCTGCCAACCTGGGCTCAGGGCAGGACAGCAACACGTGAGAAGCACTGACCTTTAGCTCGAGGGACCAGCCCAAGCCAAGGGCAGTGTGCCAGCAGATGGACGCAAACTGCCCAGCTCACTGCCAAGTCCAACGAAAAGTCTCCTACTGAGGGGCAGGAGGGAGCACAAAGCACGCAGTCAGTCTCGTCCACAGGGGGAAATGTGGTATTAGATTTAATCGCATTAGCAATGGCCAAAGCCCAGGGTGCTCACGGGAGAGCACACGGTGTAGGTGGAGCATCAGCCCAGGGGTTTGTAATATTGCCTTGGGCTCCTGTGAAAAAGCAAGGCGCTGTCAGGCACCAGGGCTGGTGCAAAGCATGAAGCAGAGCTGAGAAGTAGTGACCAGACTGGGCTGGTTGTCCCCCAACTGCCACAATAGCTGGGACTGTGGATCCCATCCGACCTGCAGGACTTCTGGAGTTGAGGGAAGCAGAACCAAGTTCAGGAAGAGTTCAGCCCCACGTCCCTCACTAATGACGGTCCTGCCCGGGGTGTTCTTTCCCCAAACTCCAGTGGATGATGAGGGGCCGAGGCAGCTCCTGAGTTTACATCCTGCCAGAATAGAAGGCAGCAGCTCTCCCTCCAAAAGTGTTGGCATCTCCCAACCCCAGAAGCAAGGGTGAGTCTGTCCACCCCAGACTGTGCTGCTGGGACCACAAACTACCAAAGCGGCTCAGAGTGAGCAGCGGGAGGAGAGGAGGGCCCCTCTGAGTCTGCAAAAGGCAAAGTCTTTCCACTTTATTGCTATCTCATGTGTGCCTGGGCCACGTAAGCCAATGCCCCTAAACCAAGCAAAAGCTCGGATGAGAGCCTCTGTGCCCATGAGGAATTCGGGCTGCTGTCCCAGCAGCCTTCCTGGAGAGAGGCCCCAGCATCAGATAAAAACTACACATGGGCGACGGGGCCACACGGTCCTTCTCCCAGGTGCCTTGGGTCTCAGACTTCCCACCTGGCCCTTCACTAGACCTTGTGGGATGATTTTCCTGGCGGCCTGTCCCCTCTCCTTGCAGACAAACATGAGGACTCCATGACTTCAGAGACTGTGCCAGAAGTAAAAAGGCTGTTCCCTCAAGCTGCTGGCTTTGCTGTTTGGATTTTGCTCTCTAGCCATGACTGTTTTCCTAATGTTTACTTGTTAGCACGTTTGGAGACAAGAGGAGTCAGACTCCTCTCCCTCCCCTGTTTCAACGTTCACCCCACACACGGCCGGGAGCCATCTTTCTCTCCCTCTGCCATGTCAGCCTTCGGCAGGAAGAACTGATCCATTCCATTTATTGATGCCCCACTTTGTCGCAGGAACACAGCATACAAAGTGTACATTTTAGTAAGGTCAAATAAACATCAAATTTGAAAGAGAATGTAAAGAGAAAGCCACAGCAGGAAAACAAGGTGGGTTTAGGAATGAGTTTAACTTCCAAAACGCAGGCCAGGAAGTCCGTGCCTCCCTCTCAAGAGGCCAGAGTTTGGCCCTCCGAGCTAACACAAGGAGGGGTGTGATCGGACAGCGATTTATGGGGTCTCCACGGAAAAAGCGCCCTCTGCTCAGGAAAAACATAAAGACCAGCGAGAAATTTCTCCTAAATACCTTCAGAGGGAGGATTATGTGTAGTATGTTCAACATTCTTAAAGTAAATAAAGCGCTGAGTTTCACGGTGAGAACTGGGGGGCCTCAGGAAGAAAGATTACAAGAAAGGAGGGGGCCGTAGGACAGACAGGGTGTCTGGGGTGGTTTGGGAAGAGACGAGGGAAGATTTGCTTGGCTAAGACTTACGAAGCCTGTCTCCCTTAATCCCTAATCAGGCTATAAGCATTGTCCCTGGAAACATTTTAGATGATTTTTTTTTCGTAAGAGAAATAACTGGAATTTTCCCCTGACAGATGGAGAAGACCAAATTATAGCCAAAATCGTTGAGCTGCTGAAATATTCAGGGGATCAGTTGGAAAGAGAGGTAGGGAGCTTCTTGAACTGACCGACGCGTTCTCTTTCTGTGCCTGCGCGCTGGTGCCCAGGAATGGAACCGAACTCCTTCCTGGTTGTTTTGTATTCCTTTTCAAAGTTCTGGTTTCCACTGAGTCCTAAATTTTATTTCCCTTGGAGTCAAGACTCTTTGGCGCTGGCAGCATCTCAAAAATGAATCACTTTGGAAAACATAAGTAAACCTTCTGGAGCCTCCTTGGAATTTTTGGAAGCGAGAAAAGTGACTTTGTTATTGCAGGAAAGGACACCAATAAATTAAAACTTGCTGAATAGAATTCTGAATCTCATTCCCCGTGTAACTGATCCTCAAGGGAAGTTTAGACTCTTGCATTTTTGCCCTGCAGCCTGGATATCTGTGTCCCACAGCGGCTCCACGTCTGGAGTCCTCTCTGAAACCTCCCCGTAGGATGGCTGGACTGTTCTCTGCTCCAGGCCTCTCTCAGCAGTTCGGCCAGGGGCCGGGTCAGTGTTACTTGCAGAACTTTGGGTTTCATGCCATTTAGAAGCAGAGCCCAGTCATTCCCATCAGGGCCGTGTGCGGGTGGCCTTCAGACGCAGAGGTGGTGAGCCGGCCCCTGCAGCCGGGGCTGCGGAACAGACCTCGTCCACGCGTCACCCGCAGACGGCTGCGTAGACCCCCTGTCCGTCAGGCGCTGGCCTGTGGGGCCCGTTTCCTTGTTCTGCCAGGACGCACGAGGAGGAAGTCAGGCCCT